CAAGATGCACTAATATATATAGAAAGACAGATAGACAGGCTAAAACGATGTGACAGGAACATTACTTATTTGCTTTTCCATGATGTATATGATGTTCATATTTTCTAAATAATACATAATGCTATTTATAGTTATAATACCCTGTTCGTTTCAAATATGAAAAGTGCCCTGTGAGCATTAAGCCTCACAATACTCCTGTAAGTGGTATTACCCAGTACCTAAGGTAGATCAGGAAGAGGAAGGAAATGCACATGAAGCTCCAGCGAAGAAACAGGAGGCAAAGGAGTGCTGCCAAAGCAAGAGAAGGGGAAGCTGTTGCTGTCACTCCATTTTTAATAGAAGAGGATATGTATTAAAAACCCTTCTCTTCTCCATTTTCACTCTTGCTTACACTTGCTCTGACCAGCCCTCCAGGTACCAGTCCCACAGCTCATGTGTCTTCCAAATTTTGAATTGCGTTTTGGGAGCTTTCAGTAAACTTAATGAGGTTTTGGGAGATGGCAAGCTCCCATAATTCCTTGAAGATATTTCCAGCAGCCCCTCATTGCTGGCACAATTTCCAAAGCCTTTTCCCCCAAACGAAAAAGAATTCTCAGATCCCTCTCTTCATTCAGCATATATCATCATCATTACAGTAGCACCTAGAAAACCCAGGTGCCAACAATGTCTCACGATGCTACATGCTGTGTATGCACACACAATTATAGCTTTTGCCAAACATTTGGTTTAAAAGTTATCCTTATTTCACAGATGGTGAACTAAGGCACAAAGAAGGGATTTAACCAAAGTCACACAGGAAGTTTGGCTGAACTAGGATCTAAGGTCAGATCCCTTGAGCACTGCAGAACATTACCAAGACCATACTTCCTCTCTGTAAATTGTCCACTGGTGCTTTAGAATAGTGGCCATCTTGGGTGCATCCCCATGAGTATGCACATGGGGTTTGCAGTGCCTCAAAGCCACTTGAGACACCACAAACTGCACACGGTGCATGTGCACTTGTGCACCGTGCTGCTAATTTGCAGCACAGCAGCTAGTTTTTTGACACTGGGGTTTTGTTTGACACAGTGTCAAAAAACAACTGCTGCTAAAAAAAGCGGCACAGAGCATGCAGCAGCAGCGTGTGCCATCAGAAACCAGAGCCTGGCCAGCCAGAGCCACATTCTGGCTGCTGGCCAGGCTCTGAGCAGCTGGCTTGATGCTGCTGCTACCCCCAGAAGCTCCCAGGACCCCAGGTAACACTGCTGGGGCCAGAACAGGTGCCGACCCCAGCCTCTCGTACCTGACCCGGGTCTCTTTGCTGTGCACCTGTGTGTGTGCAGGGTCATGTTCAGGGACCAAATAGCAGCAGGACAAATATGTGCCGCTATTTGTCCTGTGGGAAACATGCACCCCTTCATGTGTGCATTCACGAGGATGCACCCCCTGCGTCTAAGGTGGACTATGGCAAAGTAGTAGAGGATGTTCCAGCAGTGTAACACATGAAGCTGAAGGAACGTTGGTTATGATATCCTACCTCTGAAGAAACTGGCTCTCAACAGTACCTGGTAATGAAGTTTGCCAGCTGGAACACCACTTTCGGATCCTAATCACAAGTCTTGTGGTGAAACTGAGTTGTTAGGGTAGGTAGCTTCAGAATGAACACTTTCATGTACTTCAGTGGGAAGTGAGGTCTGGCATTTCAATTGCAAGGGAAGACACAAAGAATGGGAACTGGGTACCCTGGATATTTGCAAATCAGGTAGACTTAAGTTGGGAAGCACAGAACACTATTTTTGGGAAGGTGTCAGAGCCAGGGGAGAGGAATTAGAGGTAGTAAGACAATGTATCAAAGTAATTCAGTTGTAAATAAAAGGAGTTTCCAATTTGAGAAGGATAACATTTGTGTGCATGCTGTTTCCTGCAATACACTGAGAGTACATTAATTGATATCACAATTGGTCATCACACCAGATGACAAAGCTAACATGTTTAATGATTTCTTTGCCTCTGTCTTCCTAAGTAGGGACCAGAACAGCAACCTCCCAGCCGGGCCCCCTTCGGGCCCCAGGGGAGGCACACCTGGGCCAAGGGTTAGCGAGGACTTAGTAAGGGAGCTTCTGGAGGGGCTGAACGTATTCAAGTCAGCCGGTACAGATGATCTCTACCCTAGAGTTCTAAAGGAGCTGGCCTAGGTTATTGCAGGTCCCCTGGCACGGCTTTACAAGCACTCGTGGTGCACTGGAGAGGTGCCGGAGGACTGGAAGAAGGCCAATGTGGTTCCAATCTTCAAAAAAGGGAGGAAGGAGGACCCGGGAAACTATAGGCCAGTTAGTCTTACCTCGATCCTAGGCAAGC